TTTTTTTTTTTTTTTTTTTTTTTTTCCCCCCATACGAAACGAGAGAGAATCGAAGCAGGAACTAAAAGTGTCAGACTAACAACAACAACAACAAACACAACCCCCCCCAAAAAAAAACTTAATCGCATGCATATATATATATATTTATATACCTGCAATAATTATCATTAATCTATATATTTCAGTTGCTTCTGCGATGCGCTGCGAATGTGTTTAGAGAATAAGATAATAATTTGTTGAATTAATTAACAAAAGATTGTGCTAAACTATCACTAATACTAATTCTTTTTTTTCTTTTTTTTTCTTTATCAACGCGTTTTTCTTGGCATGGCTATTGATTAAAAAAAAGATGGACACTATTAATCTGATTCAGCATCCACGAGTATTTTCTTATTATTAAATTGAGGTGTTCTTCGAATAAAAACGTTTATGATTCTCGTTGTTGATACAATAGAAAAAAAAAAAAAAAAAAAAAAAAAAAAAAAAAAAAAATTTTTTTTAAAAAAAAAAAAAAAAAAAAAAAAAAAAAGGGGAAACGGATTAAAAAGATAATATTTTAAATTATTAACAAACAAACGCTCACCACCCACAAGCTGCCATAATTCACTTACTTCACCGCTTCGTTCCGTTCGTTCGTTAGTTCTTGCCCATTTTTCTTTTTCTTCAATAATTTATATATATATATATTTACTATACTTACATTTCATTGATAACAAATAATCGATATAATCGAACGATCGTAACATCTCTCTAAAAGATATAAATCAATTATTATTTGTTTCGTTAACGTACCCTCCAAAAATATGCAGAGTCTGTTTATACCATCTATCTCAAAAAATCAAATCAAATCAAATCTCGCGATTCCGCCCCTTCCCACCCCTTTAACATCCACTTTCCTTAAGAACAAATTAAAACAATTTCTTATTTCGTTTGACAAAAAGTACAAACAAACAAACAAACAGACAAACGATAATGTAATGATGATGATGATGATAATGATGATGATAACGGTTAGGTAAGAACGTGGTATTATAGTTCTGACATTATGAAGATTACTTATTGGATTTCCTGCGTAGAAGCAGAAGGTGTAGCCGCGTCAGGTACGAGGTATATCGTCAACCACCGACTCGACTTTACGGTACTCATCAGCTCCCTCGTCAACACACTCATCAAATGCACGAGGAGGAGGGTATCTATGAAACTGCCGATCCCGACAGAGGCTCAAATACTAGGGGTGAAACGCCCGATAGTGAAAGGTATCGCAGACACTTACAGTACGAATCCAACAAATTTTCAATCCGAAAAAAATAAAAATAAAAAAGAGATTTTTTTTTAATGCGTATTCCAAAAAAGAAAAAACCAAGAAATATACACCTAAGTGAATTACCACCAATTGATCGGGCTTAATTTCTATTTTTTGTTTTTTTATTCTTTTCTTTTCTTAGTGAATATATTATATATTCGCAAAGTAGTAGTTTTCATATTTTATCAATCGATCATTGGAAAAACCTCGACGTGTTCAGTTGGAAAGATATCTCTCTCTCACTCTCTCTCTCTCTCTCACTCACTCTCTCACTCACTCTCTCTTTCTCTTTCTATATATTATATATATATATATATATATACATATATGATCCCATCCCTTTCATTGTAATTCCTATCAAAATTCCTATCGTACGGTGATAGTTATTTCGCGAGCCCTTAATTCCAAATATCATCATGTTGTAACGTGCATTCAGATAAGGATCGGTGCATGGACGAATATAATTATTTCAAAAAGAAAAAAGAAAAGGAAAAGGAAAAAGACAAAGATAATAAAAAGAAAATGAAATTATAAAAATTCCCCCGCCCCCCTCTGTATTGAATTCATCGCTAATTGAATTATGTGTTTAAATATATTATAAAATGCCATTTATATATATATGTATATTTTATGAATGATTTTATTGTTCCTATTCTCGGCTACACCATGCGTACACTTTCAACGCGAGATTGTTATTTCAAAGATAAATAGATTAAATGCAATCTAATTAAATAATCTAATTTCAATAACCCTCTATATAATAATAATAATATAATTGATTGAAAGATAAAATTTAAATGAAAATGTTGGTCTTACACGTAGAATTCCTCTGACAAACACATTGACAATGTTCCTTGCTGAATTACCCGATTCGTTCGTTTATTAATATAAATATAATATAAATCATTATAATTACAATATCTCTCCCAAATCGCGATTAGGATCTTAAAACGAATTACTATAGTATTGATCAAAAGGATCATATTATTATTATTATTCGAATCTAAGTATAAATAGACTCGGCATAGTCCTTTTATTTATTAACCCCTCTCTGTAGGGGATGTGGGGTGTAAAACTTAAGCAACAAGATAGAAAAATCTTACAAAAAAAATGTCTATTGCAATATTATACATTCCCTACAAAATATATTCTATTATAAATTTTTAAACGTATTCATTTTATCGAACAAAATGATAATGTATGATAGAGTAATTTTCTCGATTGATCGAAAAAATAATTAATCAACTTT